GAACTAGCACTCTAATTGATTGTCACTACAAGGAAGGTTTTTTTGTAACACCTTTGCGACAACATTCATTGTGTCATAATAAGTAATGGCTCAAAAAGTTGCGATGACAAATCCTCATCACAAATGTTTTTACGGCGGCATTACTTATCTCTTACACTCCTCCATCTAAGAGATACAATTTTCCTGATGAGCCCAAGTGTAAGCTTGGAGGTCACTACTATGGATTTCTTCATCACCCATCTGTAAGTTTCTACTCTTTGATGCAAATATTTTTTTTTTCAAACAAAGCAACACTTTATTTTATTACTCAAAAATTATTTACAATGGAATAAAAGGCAGACAGACCCGCCCTAACAAGACTTTAACCCAAAATAAATAAAAGAAGACAAGAGACTTTACAAAAGAATCAAAAAATAAGTCATTCTTAACAGGTAAATTGCTCATTGAACCAGCAACATCAATCTGCTCCCCTATTTTGCAGAAAAAGGCAACCTTACCCTTTTATCATCAGAAACCAGCACCTTCTTCAATTGAAGAATAGGCAACTGCTTTCAATCATGCAATATAACCATACCCACAGTAGAAGGCAAAACCAGATTTTCAAAACAATCAACAAAGCATCTATCATGGATTGCCTAATTCGCCAAACTATCAGCAACCATATTAGCTTCTCTATACACATGCCTCAGCTCAAACTCAACCATCCCCAAAAAGCTCCTTAATCTGTCTCAAAAGATTCATTGAAGCCCATGAACATCCACATTTTCCCTTCACAAAAATGACCAGCACTAAAGAATCAGATTCCACCAAAACTTTATAAGCAAACAATCCATATTGCTTAACCAAATTTAGCCCATCCAGCAGGGCTTTGAACTCAACAATCATATTTGAGCATTCCCTATAAAAGAAGGAAGCAGCTAACACAACCTTCCTCCATTCATTTCTTAAAACAACACCTCCTCCTGCAACTCTTGGATTACCCTTGGACGTCCCATCTGTGTTAAGCTTAAGCACTCCAGAAGGAGGACAAGCTCAGCTAACCCAAACACACCTTCTTTCCACATGATAAGCAAGCATAATCCTGAACTCTTGCAAAGTAGCACTTCCTATTACACCCTCCTCTACCTTTGCTCTAATATTCTTCACTTGGAATCAGAAAATGCTAAAAATTTTAAGAAAGATAGAGTATGAGAGCTTTGATGCAAATATTGCCCTAATACATTCCCCCTAAAAAGGAAAATCTTTCTTTGAGTTCACATTAAAAAATGGAGAGAGGATTAGGGAATTGTATGGGTTCGTGAATACCTACAACCACTCTCCACACACAGAAAAAAGAAATTTTGAAACCAAACATCAGATTTCATTAACGATCGGTGAGAGAGAGGGAAGCTCTAGCCTTGTTAATGGAACTCTCCGGTGTTGTCGAGATAATAGAAGAAAGTGTGGTCGAAGGTAGTTGGCAGTCGATGATGGCTACATGTCAACACAGTACAAGAGCATCGGAAGTAAAAGTTAATTTTTTTTACTTCTCCTTAATAGCTTATTTAAGCACTAAAATTACTTTTACTTATTAAAAAGTGTTTTTTAAAAATTGATCAAAACGCTACATTTTCTTAAAAGTATTTATGATTAGTCAAAATATTAAAAAAAAACAAACACTTTTTTAAGCTATGTCAAACACACTCTTAATCTTTTCTCTGTTAATTTTTCAAGTGAAAATGATGGCAATTCTCCAATGGGTTTGAATATACTATCATTCGTCATTTTATAAAGGGTAAATATCTTATAGATACACTAACTATTACATAAATTTCATTTTTGTCCTTTAAATTTAAATTTTTTCTTAATTTTACTCAGAAACTTCTAAAACCAAACCAATCACTCCCATCCGCGTATCTCCCAAAGGAAGAAAAAATAAAAATTTAGGTGACAATTTGATAAACGGGTTGTGGGTTTTTCCATTTATTTTCTGTTAGAATTAGACGCGAAGGGAATTAGTCCTATGGTTTTAAAAGTTTAAGAGTGAAACTGAAAATTATAAAACTAAACAGACAAATTAAAATAGGTAATCAGAATTATGGGGTCAACTATAATTAATATTTTACCTTCTTATAAAAAAACAGTATCCTAATCATATCAGGAGGGGCACTGAAGTTGATCAACTTCTGGAGGAATCAGTTGTCAAATAATACAATTATGACACTGAGTTTTGTCTCATTATTTAATATTCTTGTGGATGAGCATTTTAACAAATTATAATTTTTGATTAACTGATAAAAATGGATACATTTACATGGCTTCTTCTTCTTCTCCTCTCTATTTTTTCTCTCTCAGGTGGTCACGTAGCCCTAACTGGTTTCGACAGTCACACTAGATATAGTTTGTCATTGTCCTTCAATGTTAGTTTATCATATAGTTTTGGGATGTGCTTCAAGTGAGTTGAGACATCAATTTAGATTTATGTTCAGTCATAAAATTTTTAACTCGTGCTCAACCTAATCCGACCTTTAATCTGAATATTACGTTTGGTTAGATTTTAATTCCCATTGAACCCAAAGTACTCAACTCAAGTTGAAATTGATTCAATTCTCAAGTTTAAATTCAAATTCAATTCGAGTTTAATTCTCAAGTTATACAACAATAACTGCAATTCAATTCTAATTGAATTCAATTCCCAAAGAATCAAGTTGAATCGGATTAGTGAATTTGAGATGAGTTATAATTGAGTTTTGAAAACTTAAGACCCAACCCAGCACTACCTGAATTAAATAGCGCTAAGTTGTTTTTTTTTCCCCCCTAAACGCAAATGAGCTGAATTACTAAACATCTTCGGTTAGATTCAAATTTCAATCATGATTGATTGTTAGATTTTTCATTAAGTGCAAGCATTCAAGGTATCTGGGATTGTCCACTCCATCAATAACATTTGCTTCTTTTTCATGCAATAGCTCTATATAAACCCAAGCTTCTCTGCTGCAAAACACATGAAAATAAGAAAGTTATAGTACTTTGTGCAGCTTAAAAATGGCATTTGAAGGGCAAAGGCACTTGTTTTTGGCACTAATCTTTATATTGGTAAACAGTTGCTTCTGTTCTGGTTGTTGGAAGCAAGAAAGAGCAGCTCTGTTGGAGCTCAAAACTTCCATCAACTACCCAAATGACCATTCTCTCTCATCATGGGTGGATTTGAACCCAAAAGGAGTGGAGAGCTCTCATTGCTGTGAATGGACTGGGGATGAGTGCAACACCACAACAGGGCATGTGGTCCAACTCTCTCTTAACTATACATGGGGAGGATCAGGAGATTGGTTGTTAAAGGTTCAGCAATTTTGGAAGTGCTAGATTTGAGTGGGAACAATTTCAATAGTAGCGTTCTATCATCTGTTACTGGGCTCTTAGCTCTCAAGTCTCTAAATCTGGCAAACAAAGGGCTGAGGGGGTCTTTCCACGTTCAAGGGATGCTAACTTTCACTTCTTATGTTGTGGATATCTTGTATTTCGTTCCGATTAATACATGATCTGACATAAAACCATTTAAATCGTAATAGAAATATTTCCTGAGCATTAGTAAAAGAGATGATGGTAGAGTGAACATTCATTCTCTTTCTTCTTCCATATAACCGGATCACAACGAGACATCAATGAAATCAAAGCAGGAAAGCACATAACACAAGAAATTACATGTTTTATTTCAAAAATTTTCATTCACGTGCACGAAGCGAATCAATGTTAAGTTCGGTAGAAAAGATGCAGATTGTAAATAGTTCTCCCAAAACGAACACAAGAGAACTGATGATCAAAACTGCCAAGGATATGCAACGATAATAGAAAACAATACCCTTGTTTACTATCTAAATTAGATTTCCAATAAAAAGAGACCAGCTTTCTTAAGAATTTTATATCGAAAAGGGTACAAAATAAGAGCAAAATACAAGATATCCACAACAATCTCCTTTTTCTTAGAAGTTTAGATTCACATTTTCACAATTCATAAGAAACAAAGAATAGTCTTCATGTTCATGCAAGTTACTAATTACACTCTTCGGATGCTTATGAACAGAACTAACTAAACTGATAAGCTTGAAAGCAGCTAGATGTAAGTAACAATGCAATCAGAGGGTTCATACTAACGAAAGGTATCAAAAATTCATTTCTTCTGCAGAGGAAAATTTGTAACCTGTTGATCACAAAGAGGAGATTAAATCATTTCAGTCTCTGCAGCTTTGCAAAGACTACAAGGATCAAGCAATCTAGAGGTCATCAATTTATCTGGCAATCTCTGTGATAATAGCATACTATCATCACTTAGTGGATTTTCATCTATCAAGTACATAAATTTAGCGAACAACCAGTTGACAGGATCAGTTCATATAAAAGGTCACTTTCACTCCATCGTATTTTTATTTCCCATTTCATAATATACTATTGGAAATTGGAAATCCAATCGTCCATTTATAGCTGTGAGAAGCAGATCTGTCAATGAATTGGATTTTAACTGATTTAAACCTTGAACAAATTTCTATTTCAAAATTCATAGGCAAATCAATCAACAATCAAAAGTTTTAACTAAAAATCTGATTCGAGCCAAATAACTTAATTAAGTTGTATTTTTGAAAAATTAAATCTGAATTTCAACCCAATTTCATCATGTATATTTGTACACAAATAGAATTTGGATCAGACTATACTCGGGCATAAACTCCCATTCTGTGAAATATGGTATAATAAATTCAAATTTGAATTATTAATCAAAGAAACCAACTACATCCAACTTATTTGATTCGGAATCTAATTAAAATCCGATTCATTGATAGACGTGGTAGTAACTCTATTAATTCATATCTTTGCCCCTACATTCTTGCCTATATCCAGCGCTAGAAGCAATGCATGACTTGGAGGAGTTGGACATGAACTCCAACAAGGTCCACAGATTCATGATTCCTGAAGGTGAATGATCCACAATTAGTATCATTTTATGTATGTTATCACAAATATCACCTATGCTGACAAAGCAATTCCCTGATTCTCTCTTTTTCATCCGAAACATCGAAAACCTGAGCCCGTTGCAAGTGCTACACCTCAACAGCATTGCCTTCAATGCCAACAATCTGCTGCAGTCATTGAGGGCATTTTCAGCCCTGAAGACCCTCTATTTTCAATCTAGCAAGTTTGAAGGAACAATTACTGTTCAAGGTATGTTGACGAGTAATACTAAAGAAATGAATCACTCACATGGCATTTCAATACTTATCCACTTCAAGATTTTCTGTGTTCTACTGTTCGTGTTTCTTCCAAACACATATTGTTTCATTTGAATAGAGATTTACAACCATAGCAATTTGGAGGAGTTGATTATGGATTACTCTTCTCTTGATAAGAAATTTCTTCAAGGCATAAGTGGGATGACTTCCCTTGAGGTCCTATCTTTGTTCAGCTGTGACCTCAACGGCACCCTACCAGTTCAAGGTAAAAGTTTGATCCTTCAAAGTGATTTTGCTTGTGCATGACCTTGTAACTATTTGAGCTCTAATCTTGCAGGTAGGGGTGTTAATCGAGCTTAAATCGAACTGAATTTACACATAAACGAACTGGCTCGTTTAACTATGTACACATAAATGAGCTTTAAAAAATGTTCAAGTTTGGCTTGTTTAACAGCCCTACTTGCAGGGCACTGATTCAGTGTTAATTCTTGGATTAGTACCTTCAATTTCTCATTCTTTCTAGCATAAATATCTGAAATTTCCTAGATTCCTTTTCTAGCTAAAAAGTTACTAAAAGCAATTAAGCCTAAGAACTATTCAACTGATTTGTTATACAGGCTGGTGTGAGCTGTAAAACCTTGAAGAAGTAGATGTTAGTGGAAATGAGCTTGAAGGGATCCTTCCTTTGTGCATGGGAAACTTGACATCTCTTCGACTAATCGATCTCTCTTCCAACCGGTTCACCGGAGATATTGCCTCGTCTTCCCTTACTGCTCTCACACTGCTCGAATACCTTTCATTTTTAGATAACAGCTTCCAAATCCCTGTTTCATTCAGCTCATTCGTTAACTTTTCGAACCTTAAGGTCATTCTAGGTGATAACAACAAACTAGTTCTAGATCGTATGTTGCAAACTTGGGTTCCGTCATTTTAACTAAAGGTCTTTAGTTTGTCAGACTGCAGATCAAATGGACTCAATGTAGAACCTCCTAGTTTTCTTCTTTACCAGAATGACTTGAGAGTTCTTGATCTCTCCCACGACTACTTGCAAGGAAAGTTCCCTTCTTGGCTGTTACAGAACAATACAAAACTGAAAGATTTGAACCTTAGAGATAAGAACTTCACAGGGCCATTCCAGCTACGCTCTCGTCCAAATCCTGAAATTTTGAGACTAGACCTTTCCAAGAAAGACATACCAGATCCAACAAATATGACTTCTGTCTTTCCAAATTTAAGAATACTAAACTTGTCAAGAAATATATTTGAAGGTAATATACCTTCATATTTTCATGATATGAAATTCCTTTGGGCGTTAGATCTGTCTAACAACAATATGTCAGGAGAAATACCAGAGCACTTGGCTGTGGGTTGCTTGTCGTTAATTTTTCTCAAGCTATCAAACAATAAGTTCGAAGGGCAAATATTTCCCCAAGTTGTGAACTTGCCAAAGTTGGAATGCTTGTATTTGGATGGTAATCGCTTCTCCGGAGGGATCCCAGATAGCTTGTCAAACATCAGCTTGTTAGTATTGGACCTCACTAGTAACAATATGTCTGGCAAACTTCCAAGATGGATAGGAAATATGTCAAGCACAAAAGAGATTGCAATATCCAATAATAATCTTCAAAGCTCTATTCTAGTAGAGTTCTGCAAACTTGACAACCTTTTGTTTCTAAACCTTTCTGAGAACAATCTGACTGGATCAATACCATCTTGCTTCAACCCCTCCAACATAAAGCATGTCCATCTGTTTAAAAACCGGCTAACAGGCCCAATTACACGTGCTTTCTATAAAAGCACTTCTTTGGTCACATTAGATCTTAGAGATAACTATTTATCAGGCAGCATTCCAAAATGGATTGGCACCCTTTTGGAGCCAAGTATTCTTCTCTTGAGAGCTAATTGATTTGAAGGCAGGGTCCCTAATCAGCAATGCAAATTGAAGCGATTAAGAATGATGGACATCTCACAGAACAATCTTTCTGGTCCAATACCTGGTTGCTTAAGCAACATCACTTTTGAGATAGCATCTGATAAATCTCTTTTATCAACGGACTGTATTGGAAGTTCTCCAACAGTAGAGGGATTGTTCTCATATGCAGAGGGGAAAAAGTTGACTGATATGGAACAGCATGTGAATGTTGAGAAGTATCCATTATTGGATGTGCAACAAGAAGTGGAGTTCTCAACCAAAAGTAGATCATATACATACAAGGGTGACATCCTGAATTTCATGTCAGGAATTGATCTTCCTTGCAACCAACTCTCAGATACCATCCCATCTGAGCTTGGAAACTTAAGCGAGGTCCATGCATTGAATTTGTCTCATAACATGAGTGGATCAATCCCAACAACATTCTCGAGCCTAAGAAAAATGGAGAGTTTGGATCTTTCCTACAACTACTTGAATGGGAGAATCCCCCCACAGCTAATCGAGTTGAACTCTCTGGCGGTGTTCAGTGTGGCACACAACAATTTATCAGGAGAAATTCCAGAGCAGAAAGCTCAATTTGCGACCTTCGAGGCAAGTAGCTATGAGGTGTGGACCTCCTTTATATAACAGTTGCACTGACACTGAATTACCATCCCCAATGCCAAAATCAACAGACGAGAAAAAAGAGAATGATCTTATAGATACGGGAGTTTTCTATGTGGGCTTTGGAGTTTCCTGTATAACTCTGCTGTTGGGAATTGCTACCATTTTCTATATCAATCCTTGCTGGCGACATGTATGGTTCTACCTCGCTAAAGAGCTTATATACTCGACCTACTATTTTGTTGTAGATACTTTTCGCAAGTTTTTCAGGTGCATAAATGTGTAGCTTTTATCACATAATTAACCGCGTGATCTGTGTATGTTTCCTCTTTAAACTAATAAATTTAGGCTAGAAGTCTAACTCGTTGAGTAGCCAACAAAGGTAACAGTAAAAATATCAATGGGACTAAATTTATACAGTGATTGTAGATTTTCCAGTCTTAAAGAGCCATCTAACACTTCTGAGGATCAAAAACACATCCAAGGCCATATGATTCAAAGGTATCCCAGTTTTTACAAGTAGAACATGACATCTACAAGAAAACCATATGCAAACAAAACAGAAAAACCTTCGCATCCCACGGGTCTGTTAGAGGGACAATGTTCTAGTACCCACTGAAGAAAGGGAAAAACATAAAGAAACATTTCACTTCTACCCTTAAATTTAACTTATTTTAGCCAGCACTGGATGCGCCACTTACAGCATCCTCATCATTGAACAATAGAACTTGTACCATTTTTGTGTATCAAATACACCAAAGGTGGTACTGAAACGCAGCAGAATTAAACCGAAAAACTTAGATCTATAGAAAAGATTAAGCACGCTTTTACTGATCCCCAAGCTTTCTCAAAGAACTTTAAATCTTCAAATCTGAATTTAATCTTTACCCTAAGCTTTTATCGGTATCTACACAAATTGATAAACTTGAAGGATATACATCTACCTTTGATGAAATAGTAGAGAGAGAGCCTTAAATAACTCCAATCCTAATTTAGGTCTAGTTACAATTATCCCATAATTACATAATGACTTTTTTATTAACTATTAATTATAATAAAGTCTTTAATTAATTTTTAATTAGGTTTCTAGTCCAAATAACTCTTATTGGTTTTCTCTCCTTTATCATTTAGTTTCCAATCAGTCTTATTATGTGCGACCTTATAGGTTCAAGCATACCCGGTTACAGGAATTCGATACTAACTTCAAGTAGTAACTCCAATTAGAACTCTTTCTAAATTATTTTGAATTAGGACTCTTTTAATTCTCCGTTTATGAAGAATAATATATTTATATTAATTTTGTTCTTCGGATTTCTACTAATCATGAGTGACAATTAGCAACATATCATGATTAACCCCTGAATAGTACGAAGTAGGTAAAGAACTCATTCAGTCTACAGTTGTCATACAATTCAATCATTCTATCACACAATACCCCAATTGAATTACTAGAGTACAAAATTACTGTAAAACCCTAACTCAATCTTATGTATTCGATCTTAGGAGTTGTCATTCTGACCTGACCAAGGACTCCTTGAGTCATATCCCAGAAGATCAAAGAGGACATTCTCTTTTTTTTTTTTTTAAACAAAGGGTGATAGATTCTATGATCTGTAGACATAAGTCTTCATGCATGTCTAACTATATCTAACTATGTCCAACAATATATATCCAAATTATATGATTAGTATATGAATATATTGTATAGTTAAAATATAAAAAGTTCATACATAAGACAACTATGGTGTCTTAAGTCTAAGGATCAGTTGCAAAACTGTAACATAGGATTTAGGGTTAATTGTACTCGATGTCCCCAAAGTATAGGGCTTGTCTCATTTTCGTCCTCAATGTTTCAATTACATCATTTTTGTCCCTGAAATATGGAATATGTTTCTATATGATCCTTCAAGCAGACAACGTCCAAATTGTTAAAAAAAATTTATTATAAACTTGTCACGTAATACCTAAATATGGACAAAATATAATTTTGATAGCTCTTAAACAAAAATTTGGGTAGCTCTTGATAAAAAAATATGCAACATATGTAGTTTTTGACCAAAATTTTGATAGTTCATGATCAAAATTGTGTAATTTTGGTAGCTATTTAACCAACATTTGAGTAAAAATTTGGTCAAGAGTTATCCAAATTATATTTTTGTTCATATGCAAGTATCACATGACAAATTTATGATAAAAATCGTTAACAATCTGGACGTTATCTACTTGAAAGACAACATAGAAACATTTTAAATACTTCAGGAACTAAAATAATGCATTTGAAACATTGGGGACCAAAATAAGACAAACTTCATACTTTAGAGACCTCCAGTGCAATTAACCCTAGGATTTAACATTGACAAATATGTAAACCTCTATATGAAAAATCATATATTAGTCAATAGTCACATTCAATATACTTGTTCTCCAATAAGTACCCACACACCTATTTCAATGTCTCTACACTAGTGACTCGGATGAGTCACCTCACATCAAATATGAGCAAACATAGTGTATACTAATTTATCCGGATTACATAGTATCCACACAGTAATCCTATGACTATGAACATTTAAGAGTTAAGTAATAAGAAGTATAAGTCTTCTCTTCTCAATGTCTTGAGAGACTATCTTCTTAACTTATACTGTATGGACTTTATCATGCATGTTAAAATAAAATAAACCAGTACCATGATTAATAAACATACTCTTGTAATTAAAATTATCTGATGAATGTTATCAGGACAACCCTAATATCATATGTGCAATTGATTTTAGGGCATACTACTAACAGTTACTGTAGTCCGTAGCTCAATAGCCAGAGGGAACAAACTCTGATGCATCCAAGTCAAGTTTACAACAGGATTAACCTCGGATGTAAATCAAAAAAAGCACACCCAAGAACTTGTGGGAGATTATGCTTTAGAGGAACCCAAAAATTAACTCTTTTGAAGGCATTTATTTAAAGGCAATGCTAGTACAAGAACTGCTTCACTTTTGTTTTTAGATGTTTGTGGGTGCCAGTGGATAAGAGATAATAAAGACCGTATTGATATTGGGTAGGATTGAACGCAACACAAATACATGGCCTGTGATACAAAATTTAGCTCAAGTCTATAACCTCATGAATGACACATTCAATGGCAACATATATTTTAGGTAGATGGTGATTCCATTGGCACAACATTTCTGTGATCTTTAAGGATAGGTGAAGTGCAGCAGTTCTATGCATAATCTGTAATTGTGAGTTCACCACATAGTGGAGTCCCATCACATCTGTTCACTACCTTATTCAGTTACAGTTCCCCTAAACTTTTATCCAGCTAAAACACAAATGCATATTTTAAAAAATCTATTTGTGTATAGCTTCTTCTTTTACAACCATTTAAGCTGCTGCTTTTTTTATCTTGTCACTGCTTCTTACCCGCTCATTTCACATGTTTGTGTAATTTTAACAACCAACAGTTGAGCATTGAAACTTCCTGGCAGAGTTCAACACTCTACTAGAAGTCATCACAACCATTTTAAACTGTTGTATAGAATATGATTACTTCAAGTCGTTGTAGTATTAAAGTTTGCTCAAGATTCTAATGCAGTTATATAAACAATATCAAATAACCGAAAACACCAAATCTGTAATCAGAAATTTACAAACTGACGGCCTACCACTGAAAAATGCAGTTTCTCATTATCAAAGATATGATTTAATCACCAGCATTCTCGTCATAACTTAAGACCCATGATCGAAACTCATATTTGGGCACATCAAACTAAAGCAGGCAAATAAATTACATCTCATCTGCAGTCACTACCTACTTATGTATATACTAGAGTACATACAAAGAAAAGAAACATCAAGTACAAGCATAATTAGATCCATTCATCTCCTCCGACTTACCCGACTCAAGTGCAATGCAAGTGCATTCCTAATCCTCTTCCCACTCTCATCTAGCTCTCCTTCAAATACTGGAAGTTCTTGATCCCTTGAGTCCACAATTTCATCCGGCAACGCCTCACTACACTTTATGAGAAAATTGTGCAGCAGACAACACGAGAGCATAACAAATGGGAAAGCGTCAATACATCCTCCCTTCCACTTCTTTGATACAAGATGCCACCTTGCCCGAATACTCCCAAACGCCGTACTAACCAATCCCATTCCTCGACTATGCACCGTATTAAAGGCTCTTTCCGAAGTACTCAAACTTTGACCGTCTTCTGATTTGATATAAGGAGTGAGAAGCCAAGACAACAGAGGGTAACAAGAGTCACCCAAAATGTACTGAGGAATGGAACTGCCATCACTCAGCTCAAAAGATTGACCATTCAAGTACTCCCTCGATTCCTCAACACCGGAAAAAAGCTTTGATTGTCTCAAAATCGGTTCGGGTTTTATTGTCCTAGGCCAACCGGCCGAAACATCCAAGAACCTCCCTTCAGAATCTACCAATGCCTGAACCATCAAATACCCATTTTCACCCAACAAGTCTCCTTCCACTTCAAACTTCTCGAACCCCAAAACACCACAACAATTCGGTAGTGAAATCCACCCAAAACCCACCACAATTCGGTTAATATCCGATTGAAATTCAAATAAATGACCCAATTTATCATTGATGGATTTGCAAACAGTGTAAAACGCCCTACAAGCTGTGGAGGAATCGAGCCCAAAGCGTCGAGCAACTGATTTGTAAGAGGCGGCGTGGGCAAGGCGGAAGAGGGTGGCAGCGAGGGCATAGTTAGGGGGGAGAGGGGAGAGAGAGGAGAGAGAAGGGGTGAGAAGTCTGAGGAGGAGAGAGAAAGAGGGTTTGGACATACGGAAAGCGTCGGCCCATCGGGTGTCGTAGTCGGCAGAGGCGGCAGAGAGGAAGCGGTGAAACCAGCAATGGTGGGTTGACGGAGAGAGAGATGATGATGTGGCTGACGGGGGAACAGAGAGATGAGAAAGGAGTTTGGAGAGAGAAAGAGAGGTGGAGGAGAGGTGGGATTCGAGGGAGAGAGTTTGGGAAGGGAGGAGGTGGAGGTCGT